ACACACACACACACACACACACACACACACACACAGATCTGCAGCAGTGGGTTTAAAATATGTCATGAAATGAGTTAATATAGTGTTAGGAAAAACTGCATTTACCATGTTGAGGTGCATTTACGGTGAGAGACAGATCAGGTTTGTCAGGTGGCACCTATTGGGTTGAAAAAGTCACCGCTGTCGCTCAATGACATTTTCACGGTGTAACACAGAAGAAGGAAAATGTGACACTAGATGCTCTCTGTTATTTTTAGTGTGGCTTGAATAAAGAGAAAAAGAAAAGACAGAAGAGGAGAGCGATTACAAGTCCACCCTGAAACACCTCTGGGCAATTATTTGGGCTGTTAATTTGAAACATTATTTAAATTACCAGGACCTCTTTCTCCTGGAAGTTATACATCTGAAGCAACCAAAATCTGAATTTTCGGATGAGGTTTTAAACACTTTTGAAAACCCTTGGTTCAGTTTCAACGGCCACACCCAGACCCGATTACTGCTAGACCTGTTTAATAAAAAAAAAAACTCAAATAGAAACTGCCTGACAAATTTAAGTTACCTTAAAGATCTCAAAAAACAACACATCATGCCATGATCTAAAGAAGCAGCTTAAAAACAAAATAATTTACATCCATCAGTCAGGAAAGGATTACAAAGCCATTTCTAAGGCTTTGGGAGTCACGTCATCACATGACAAAGAAATTTAAGGCTCAAATCACAATTCCTTGTTACCTTTAACAGAGGAAACGTCTCGTGTTACATGACAACTACTAAAATGAATCTTAAATCCCCTAAAAATCACATAAAACACAGTATATCAATGCGATGATACACACACACTCCATATAACACACTCCTAGTGACTGTGCATGGAGTTTAAACATATGAGCATCTAAAAAAAAATTAGTAAAACACAAATCTAATTTCTTGTAAAGAACCGCGGTGCACAACTTGCAAACTGCAGAATTACGACGATAAGAAGACGCAAAAGTGTCTCCATGGCTTCTGCCATCAAATATTCAGACACACTTGTAATTCCTTGTGAGTGAAAAACCCTGTAAAATGGCTGGGAAACAAAACACTTGTGGTAAAACAATGTTCTGAGGACATTCTGTCAGATTCTTCTCTTTTTTACAGATTTCATCACTGAGCCACTGTGGCGTAAATGCTTTAAAACACTTTGACATAACATGCTGTGTCCAGAGACTCTCTGCTTGTGAATAATGAATCTGCAGTATGTTCTGAACAGCTGTCTTCTTGCAAGATGTTTTTTTTCCTCCAAGGTTTTTTGGTCGCATCCTGTCCTCGAGGTTTTGAAACCTGCCTAATTTAACCGATTTACCTGCTTCTCGTGACGATGGCACCGACCAATCGGTGACTCCTAAACTTGCAACAAGTTGCTGCGATTGGACAAGTAACGGAGAGTCGAGAAGTATGCTCAATTCTTGCAACCCCCCCGCTCTTCATATTTAATTCAGAGGTTGTGTATTTCTTTATGATTGCAACATCTGTTTGCTCCCAGTGCCAGCTCGCTCTGTCAGCCACCCTCTGTTCAATAATTCCTGTTCTGACCCCTAAGAGCCCCTGACATCACAGCACCGGCTGCTGCTCAAACTTCACTGGGAACAGACACAAAGAGACAGGTGCCTACATGCCACCAAATCATCTGCCTCACAAACCTGGTTCTACATAAACACATCAGTGGCCATGTTGCTCTGGAGTAGGACAGATAAATCCAGTACTCTTCTTTCTATCGTTACCAAATGGCTGATGTTGGACATGGAAAGGGACTTCCTAGGACTAGACAAGTTCAATATTTGCATGAATGTGTCCTTGTGTCAGGAACTGGGAGTGAGAAAATGTGACAACTGCAACTGGCTTAAGCTTTAAGTAATTTATGAATTTTAATTCACCTTTATAGTACAGGCCTGGCAAGTTAATGCTTTAAGATCTAAACTACAACTCCAGCAAGGTTGAATAACACTGAATGTACACATATGAAGAGTTGGCATGCAACTAGTGTGACCAATCTCTGAGCTGTTTTTGCAGGGAATTATGCTCTGAGGCCAAATCATAACTTAGATCCAAAACAATGGATCAAATTGCAGTACTTAGTACAGAGATACTGCATGAAGTGGTCAACAGTGGAAAGCAGCTTACTAAAACAGTGTTGTAGCCTTGAGACACTTCACCAAAACATTAACTCTTGAAAATTGCTTAAATTAAAAGTTCTGTCTTTGAAGCATTCTGTACCTTTGTGTCTTTGACTTGTTGTATAATTATAAACAGAGTTGCTGAAAAGAGCTCAGTCATTCCTATTTTACAAAGATCCTCTAAAATGAACTGGAAAAAAAGACTGAAATAGAAAAGGTGATTCATATTTATGCATATTCATTCATATTTTGAGCTATTTATAATAACTCAATCCTAATCAGTACTCACTGTGCTGCGTGATCTCAGAAAGCACGTGGAAAAGAAAAGGAAAAATCTACACCGTCTCCAAGGTGACATTAGGAAGTTTAAGGTCTTGGGTACAGGCTCGGTTACAATATGGGATTACTTTTCTGCATCTGATTAACAAAAACCCGAGTGAGAGAAATGCCACGCAAAAAAAAAACAAACCTCAACACAAATTCAAGTGGGAAACCAAAGCTGGCAGATCTTATCCCAAAGAGCCAATCAACAGGAAAAATATGAACTAGTCATGTTATTGAACTGACTGTTTCAAGATTGTCTTTATACATATGCATGTGATTTAGAATAGCATTTGTTTTTAAATATTTACCTTTTTTCTGACATGACTTTATCAGTTTTGGAATTTTGGCCCACTATTCTTTAGAGTGTTGCTTAAGTCTATTGAGGTTTGCAGGCATTCATTTATGCACAGCTCTCTTGAGGTCCCAACGCAGCATTTCAATCAGGCTGAGGTCTGAACTTGACTGGGTCACTGCAACAACTTTATTCTTTTATTTTTCATGCATTCTCTTGTGGATTGGCTGCTGTTTACTGTTACTTTGGTATACAGAGGAGTTCAAAATATCAAAATGATATTTTTATTTCTAAAGTATAATTGTTGTTGTTGTTGTTGTTGTTGTTGTTGTTATCCATGATTGTTTAAACTTACAGTTTTACTAAAAAAGCTGAAATAAGGCACATTATTTGTTTTATGTCAAATTACAGTTATTTACTTGGACTCCTAATCAGAAAAAAATTGTCTTAGTACTTGAATAATATCATGCTTGATTAATTTGTGACTCCTCAGAGAAGTCCAGTGTGACGGTTCAAATTAGGATAAAAGAAAAACAAACACCTGTTTATTACTTGCCTAATAAATAGCAATATCATTTTCAGCTTTTACAGATTTCTATAAAATTTGTGTTTTCTTGTTTTTCTGGCAGGTGCTCTAATTTATTTTTTAAGAACTGTATATGAACAAACACACTGGATTTCAAGACTATTTCATAAATTACCAGAGCACCGCAATGGATTGCAGCAGGTTTACACGCATCAGGTCTACTTCCTGTCAACAATTATAACTGATCAAAGTATTTTGTCTGGTTTTCTCAGCGTGATCTTCATTGTCAGAGACACTGAAGGTGGTGGGGTCTATAACAGATGCTACCCACTGACCTTAGAAAACATGGCGGAGGGGCCAGATGTTTGGATGACCTCACAACCTTGGGACCAGCTGATGTGGCAGTGATGGAGATGGGTACTGGCAGAAGAAACTGATCTAGTGGCAACAAAGGTTCCCATTTTTCCCGCTTTTTCTGTTTTGGTCTTTACCCCCGAAAGTGGGCAATCCTGGAAGGCAGGAAAACACAGAGAACAGAGGAAGAGGGATATACAGACACAAAAGAGAAAGAGACATGGAGAGGACTGGTCAGTGGTGCTGACAGTTGTCACAGATGTTGAGTTCAGCACAAAACTCTGCCAGAAGCCATCATGTCAAAGCTAAGTTAGCTGAATGAACAAGAACAACTGCAGGCCCTGCCACTTTAAATCTCGCTCAAAATTCAACAGCTGTTTCTTGAACGAATACAGATGCAAAATAATGATAATAATGTCTACTTAAAGCTCCTACACAGAAGTAAACAACCCTTCGTAACCACACCCTGCACGCATGACGTCTCATTAGCTTTGCCCTGCTGCAGCTCTTTTGATAGATTTAATTTTAGACACAGGGAACATTTTTATGTTTGACACTGAACTGTCAGGAAAATAATAGCTTTTAAATATTAAAAAAAATAAA